CCATATGGTTGGCTAAAAATGTTTTTTCCATCTCCCCTCAAATCAATGCTGGTCTATGATCCTAGACCTTAGACTAGTTGGATTCCCTAAACCCATTCCTTCATAACTGATTATGAAGCTCGTCCTAGCTTCATTCCAGGAAGACACATCTATATTAACATTACAAAACAATGACTTAAACCTTCACTACAGGGAAGTTAGAATTCAATTACTACCCTTCCTCCTCTCATCCCTCTATTCCTTCTTTTCCTTGCAATCAGATAAATTTAATGCCTCTGAAATCTTTCTGTTGGATTAGTAGCAGGTTTCTAAGTTAATAATAGGTTTGTAATTAAGGTGAAGTTCTTTCCATTTGCCCATATTACTTACTTATATACATACATACATGCATACATACTATCAGTAATGAAGTAATAGGCTGGTAAATTAAGACAACTTAAGTTGTGTTTAAGTGGCCCATATATTTGTAACAATTTTGAGTGGGAAAGACCCCAAAGACAAATTCACATGCTGGCTAAATGTTCTACTAGAAAGTCATTTGAAAATTGATACAAGCAAGAGCTAGTAAAAAAACTCCAAAAGTTGCTGAAAGAACACTGCAAAGAATAAGAACTTTCAACATAGCAGGGGCCCTTGGGCATCTAGTTTTCATTTGCATTGGAGTATTTTTGGCAAAAGGCCTTGTAATGAGTCAAGTAAAGGAAATGTATTTGATTATAGAAAGACTTATTTTTCAAAGAAATAAAATGGGATGTATTTATTTATAACTTGTCAGTAATTGTGAGTTTTATGACTTTTTGTTTGCTGCCAAAGAAGCAAGTGCATGCTTTTTCTGGCTCCTGACAATCCCTTAGCCATGATTGCTGGTACTTTTTTTGTTTTGTTTTGTTTTGTTTTTTTGAGACATCATCTCTATATTGTTCAGGCTGGCCTTGAACTCACTAGGTAGTCCAAGCTGGCCTTGAACTCATGGCAATCCTCCTACCTCAGTCTCTTGAGTTCTGGGATTGTAGGCATGCACCAGCTGCCATGCCCAGCCCTGGTACTTTTTCTTTTTGAGACAGGGTCTAACTCTGTGGTTGAGACTGACCTGGAACTCTGTAGCCCAGATTGGTTTTGAACTCACAGCGATCCTCCTGCCTCAGCCTCCAGAGTGCTGGGATTACAGGCATACACCACCACACCCGGCCAGCCCTTGTACTGTTAAAAAATTACATGGAAAAAAAAAACATCTTCTTTATCCAATCTTCAGTTGATGGCAGTTGGGCTGTTTCCAAGTTATTACAAACTGTGCCTCTGTGAATATGGGTGCACAAATATCACTGTGTTATGATTCTTTGAATTCTTTTGGGAAGATACCCAGCAGAGGGATGGCTGGGTCAAGTGGCATCTCTAACCCTAGTTCTCTGAGGTGTCTCCATACTGATTCCCAGTGGTTGCCCCAGTCTACACTCCCACCAACAGTGGAGAAGGGTTCCTTTTTCCCCATAACCCCAGCAGCATTTGTTACTGGTTGCTTTCTTTTGTTTTTTGTTTAAAACCTTCCTTATTGAAGGCAACAGCCACAAATGCAACAAAATAACTTATCTTAATCGTTTTTCATAAAAGTCCTTCAAATATTAAATTGCACTCTTCATTACCCACCAGTAAAGTCTTCTCTGCTCCACACTGAACATCTTCAGTTCCTTCCATTATTTTTTCTGTAATGCTAGTCAATAGAACTTTCTGTGAGGACAGAAATTTTCTGTATCTGTTCTCTTCAATATGGTAGCCAAGAATATAGACTAGAAATGCTGCTAGTGTGACTGAGGTATTGAATTTTCTACTTAATGTCCACATGTAGCTAGTAGCCTCCACCTGGGACAATACAGCCTTAATATTGCAAATCTCCTTTCCTTACTGGTCGTTCATCCATTAACTCTATTTAGACTTGTCAAGATCTTTCAAATGTTCGGCCCCCACAGAGCAATACTTACCAATATAGTCTTCAAGATAACTATTAGGACCCAGACCATACTTCTAATACTTTACAGAGTGGGATGTTTTTAATGTATCTTGGAGCACCAGTGGTAAACAATGACAGTCATTGGAACTCGTACTCTGTATTAGGCCCAGTAGTTTGTGTATTCCAAGTTGTGATGATCCTTTTAAAACTTGTTCCAATGTAGACTACCCACAAGCCCTTCTGATTTTGTGGCACTTAGAGATTTGACATTACTATTATCTTCCCTGTTTGTAGTCTTCCACATTTTCAATGATATTTTTTACATCAGTTAAATTTCATTTAATCCTTACAACAACCTTGTGAGGTAGGTAAGATATACGATCTATATTTTATAGATAAGGCAGCTGAAGTGCAGAAAAACTTAACTGATGAGATCCATTTTCTAATCCATTGAGCATTTTGTTGTATACAGTATTTACTCACATCCCTTGACAAAAATGTTAGAGGGCTCCTGTAGAAGCCAGGCTGACCATGAATATCACTAGCTAGTTCAGCAGCTAAAGCACGTCAGTTCCACCTAAAGAAGTGATTAGCTAACCTATATGTTGCCTTTCTGTCCAAAGGGTGGTACAAGAGAGTCACTAACTTACTAACGTAAATATTACCACCAGTCTAATGAGCAAAAAGCAAATGAGGGTTGGCTTTCAGGAAAAAAAAAAGTTTTTTTCTCTTGTCTGTATCCATAAAGGAATTGCCATATCAACTGCCTAAAAGCTAGGCCCTCCCTTTCTTCTAAAACCTTCATGGAGTCATCTTTTATTATTCTTAGGATTCTTAGCTTATTGTAACCCACCTTGTAATTGTTTATATACATGTCTTGCAACCTACTTCAAATCATTCATCCTTATCACACACAGCACTTAGCCCACTACTGTCCATGTTGGAGACACTCAAATTGGCAAAAGAGAAAATCTATCCAAGTGAATATTCCAGTACTATTTGGCACGCCTCCAAAAACAAACTTGTGACTAGAAGACAGAGATGACTGCCACATTCCTGAAATCATGATTGATTAAAATGCCCTTATAATTGGCTTGGTCACAGTTTTCAGCAGGTGTCAGTGCCTTTGCTGGTTACACCAGCTTTCATTGGATGTGGTTACTTGGTTAAATTTGCAGTCCCGGGGATTGAACCCAGGGCTTTGTGTATGCTCAGCCCTTTATCCTCAGAATAAAGACAGATCCTCTTATACTAGGGACAGAATACATGAAATACGAACGCTTCTTTGAAATGTCAGTCTACTAGTGAGGGAAATAAGTGATCAACAAAATACCTGACAGTAAGTCTTCCAAAAGAAAGGAAACAGGAATAAAAACCAAGAATATAGTGCTTTACCATTTCCAAATCTTTCATGTACATTCTCATTTGACCCTCCCAACAACCCTATGAGGTAGGCAGCACAGATGTTATTCTTGTTTAACAGATGAAGAAAGTAAATCTCAGAGCAGTTAACTGATGTGCCCCAAGTTCTATAGTTAGTAAATAATTTGCATTAGTACCACTCTTGGGCTTAAAAATTCAGCACCCAGCCTCCCCTCATATATGCCCCACCTACTTCACAGGGATAATAAAGATAAAATGAATTCAAGGCTAGAAAAATACTTTTTTTTCAGCTTTAATTGAGTTTATTTGTACATTTTAGGTGTACAGTACAGTTACATTCATTGTTGGGATCTTGTACCTCTACATGACAAGTCTTGGTTCTCATTTTTTCCCCTTGTCCCTGACCTCCCTTCACCCCCTCCTCCCCTCCCCATCTACAACCACTTTATTTCCATCTTTTCATTATCTCACATTTTTTTCTTTTCTCCTTTTACCCTTCCCCTACCCATCCCATCTTCCCTACACCTTTAGCTCCTTTCTTCCCATTTCTCAATGTCAGTAATCTTATTAGGATCTTCTGTATTATTGGAGATTATTCACACCAGAGAAACTATTTGGTATTTACACATGTGTGACTTATTTATTTCACTTAGGAGTATATCTTCAATATGTATCCATTTTCCTATGAATGAATCTATTTTCTCATTCTTTATGGCTGTGTAATATTCCATTTTATATAGAAAAATACTTTGAGAAGGAAAAAGCACTATGATTATACCCATAAACTATAATTGTCCGTGATAAATGCTCAGTCCCCTTCTCATCCCAGCTTGTGCATGAACCCAGAATGTTATATTACCTCTGTCTGTGCTGAGCAAGTAGGTAAGGCAGGGTAACAGTGTAATCCTGTTTAAAGTTACATAAATTACAATCAGGGAATCTGCATTATTAAGCAGAATGAACAGCACACAAAGGCTAATGAACAACTAGGACCCACTAAAGCACATAGCAAAGCAAGGCAACATCATCATATAGGGCCTGATTGCATAGAAGAAAAAGTGGGGTCAGAGTTCCAACTGGCACACATGTAGTTATCTAAGGCCAAGGGGTGGCAAAGAAGAGTTACTTGCTCTGCATTATATAAACAAGAGCAGCAAATTCATGGGAAACCGTGCAAAAGCATTGTGTGTCACACAGATTGCTCCAGTTGCCTACAGGGAACATAAACACTCATCTTCATTGTAACGCATGATTGTACCTGTGCTCATATCCTGAATTAAACGAAGGAACAGCTCCATGCTAAAACTCCTTGGGTAAAATACAACCAGTACTATTACTTCTAATCAGACTAATAAATAGAACGTCTTTTAATGAAGTAGATGGCTGTTTAGGTTCCCTTCAGGGTTTACTTTGAATTTTCCTGCTTTAAGACCCAAAGAAAGTTATATTGAGCTTTCATTGGTGATTCTAAGAATATGTGTTTATACCATTTAAAGTGTGATAGGTGAATTTAACATGTTAAAAGTTTTATAGCATCTGTTAAAAAAGGATTAGACACTCTACAAACTATTCCAGTCATACAGAACCATTTCTCAGTGTCTTTGCAACTGAGCAGAAGCCTATTCAGCTCACTTCTCCTCCTGAGGTGGTTCATTCTGAGCAAGCTTTGCTTTCAGTTTGTTTTATTTGCTTCTACAGTGGCTTCATATTTCTCTTTCATTCCTGCCAATTCTAGGCGAAGCAGCTCATTTTCTGGATTTTCTGGGATAGCAGCCCCTAAGCGATGCTTTAAAAAATCCAAAGCGCTATTAGGTTTCTCTGGTTCTTCATATAATGTTACCAACACCTTGGTCAACCTGTCCAGCAACCCGACTTCTGCAAGTAAGTACCTCCGGAACTGCTCGCACTTGCGCTTCAAGCCCGGGGCTTTGTAATGGGCCATAGTGACAAGGGGAAAGGTGTAGCTGGTGCTGCAGACCGTGGCTGGTGGGCTCCTGATTGATTTCCTGATAGCAGCCATTCTTTGTGGGGTGAGGTGGGATTTCAGTGTTGTTTTTAATTCTTTTTTTTTAATTTTATTGAGTTTATTGGTACATTTTAGGGATACAGTACAGTTACATTCATTGTTGGGATCATGTACCTCTACATGACAGGTCTTGATTCTCATTTTTTCCCCTTACCTCTGCCCTCCCTTCACCCCCTCCTCCCCTCCCCATCTACAAACACTTTATTTTCATCTTTTCATTCTCTCACATTTTTTTCTTTTCCCTTTTTGTTCTTCCCCTACGCATCACACCTTCCCTACACCTTTAGCTCCTTTCTTCAAATTTCTAAATGTCAGTAATCTTATTAGAATCTTATGCATTGTTGCAGAATATTCACACCAGGGAAACTATTTGGTATTTACACATGTGTGACTTATTTATTTCACTTAGGAGTATATCTTCAATATGTATCCGTTTTC